TTGGTTGGGTTAATTTGCATATAGCCGCTCTGATTGGCTGGTGGGTGTGGCTTAAGGTGTAGCAAAGGTACGGTCAATTTGCATGTTTGTATTTTATTAGTGTAGATGTTTTTAGAAATGGAGATGTTTTCTTAATTTTCTCTTCATTGTTAGTGTAAAGAAATGCAACTGGTTTTTGGTCATTGGTTTTTGTATCCTGCTACATTGCTGAATTTATTACTCTTAACTTTTTTTGTAGAATCTTATGGATTTTCTACATATAAAATCATCTGTAAACAAAGATAATTTTATTTTTCCTTTATAATGTAGATGCCTTTCATTTATTTTCCTGCCTAATTGCTCTGGCTGGAACTTATAGTTCTATATTGAGTAGAATTGGTAAAAGCAGGCATCCTTGCCTTGTTCGTAATATTAGAAAAAAGGCTTTGTCTTTACCATTGAGCATAATTTTCGCTGTGGCCTTTCATATACAGCTTTGGATATGTTGAGGTAGTTTCCTTCTATTCCTAGTTTGTTGAATATTTTCATCATGAAAATGTATTGAATTCTGTCAAATTTTTTTCTGCATCAATTGAGATAACTGTGGGGTTGTTTTTTTTTCCTTCATTCTGTTAACGTGATGTGTATGTAATATTGATCAATTTTCATATGTTGAACTATTCTTGCATTTCAGGAATTTATCCTCAGTTATGTTATATAACCTTTTTAATATGCTATCAAATACTGTTTGTTAGCCTTTTCTTGAAGATTTTTGCGTCAGTGTTCATAACTGTTCATAAGGGATCTATAATATTCTTGTAATGTCTTTATCTGGCTTTGGTATCAGGACAAATGTTAACTTCATAGCATGAGTTTGAAAGTGTTCTTTTCTCTTTAGTTTTCTGGAAATACTTGAGAAGGATTGTATTAGTTCTCTAAATGTTTTTGTAGAACATTTGAAGTAAAGCCATCTGATCTTTTCTTTGTCAGGAGATTTCTTATTACACTTTAGTGTCCTTACTAATTATAGGCCTATTTAGTCTTTCTCTTCATGTTTAGTCTTGGTAGGTTTTGTGTTTCTAGGAAATTATCCATTTCATCTAGTTATCTTAATTTGTTGGTGTACTATTGTTTATAGTATTCTCTTGTAATATTTTTGATTTCTTTAGAATCAGTAATAATGTATACACATTCACTTCTGATTTTAGTAATTTGAGTCTTTTTTTTTAAGTCAGCTTAGCTAAAGGTTTGTCAGTTTTGTTGTTGTTTTTGTTGTTGTTGAATGAATCAACTTTTGGTTTCATTGATATGTCTCTGTTTTTGTTTCATTTATCTCTGCTCTAATCTTTAGTATTTCCTTCATTCTACTAGCTTGGGGTTTAGTTTATTCTTTTTCTAGTTCCTTAAAATGTAAGATTATGTTAATGTTAAGGGATCTTTCTTTTTTAATATAAGCATTTACTGTTGTAAATATCCCTCTTTGCGCTGCTTTCAGTGCATCTCATAAGTTTTGGTATGTTGTGTTTTCATTTCATTTGTTTCAAGGTATTTTCTAATTTCCTTTGTGATTTCTTCTTTGACCCATTGGTGGTTTAAAAGTGTGTTCAATTTCTACAGATTTAGGGATTTTTTTCTTATAGTTTTCTTTTTGTTATTGATTTCTAGCTTCATTCATTGTGACCAGAGACGATACTTTGAATGATATTTATCTTTTAAAATCTGTTGAGGCCCTGGCCCGGCAGCTCAGTTGGTTAGTGTATTGTCCCGATATACCAAGGTTGTGAGTTCAGTCTCCAATCAGGGTACATACAAGAATTAACCAATGAATGCATAAATAAATGGGACAACAAGTCAATGTTTTCTCTCAAAAAAAAATCTCTTGGGATCTAATTTGTTTCTTAACATATAGTCTATCCTGGAGAATGCTCCATGTGCATTTGAAAAGAGTGTGTATTCTGTTGTTTGGTAGAATGCTCTGTGTGCTTGTTAGATCTAGTTGACTTATTGTGTTGTTCGGGCCTTTTTTTAATTTTCTTTTTCTTATTTTCTTTTTTTGAGTTCTTTCCATTATTAAGAATAGGTTATTGAAGTCTCAAACTATTGTTGTAAAACTGTTTCTCCCTTCAGGTCTGTCAGTTTTTACTTTATATATTTGATATTACGTTATTAGATGCATAAATGTTTGTAATTGTTATGTTTTTGCAGTATTGATCTTTTGTTAATATATAATTTCCTTCTTTGTCTCTTGTAACCTTTTTTGACTTAAAGTCTATTTTATCTGATATTAGTGTAGCTACCCTGTGCTCTTGGTTACTGTTTGCATGGAATATCTTTTCCATCCTTTCACTTTCAACCTATTTATTCTTTGGATCTAATGTGAATTTTTTTGTGGATAGGATATAGTTGAATCATGTTCTTTTGTCCACTCTACCAATCTCTGTCCTTTGACTGGAGAGTTTAATTCATTTATATTTACAGTAACTACTGATAAAGGAGAGACTTCTAGCATTTGGTATTTGTTTTCTATATACCATAACGCTTTTACTTCCCTCCTTTTCTGCATTACTGTCTTTTGTGTTTGTTTGCTTTTTGTACTGAAATATTTTAATTCCTGTTTCCTTCTGTGTGTATTCTATAGCTGTTTTCATTGTGCTTACCATGGGGATTGCATTTGACATTCTGAAGTTACAATAGTCCCATTTGAATTTATACCAGCTAATGAGCAAGCTTTCTGAACCCTGGCTTTTTATTTGTAAAACAGGAGACCCTGTTCTATCTACCTCGAAGGATTTTTATAAGGCATCAAAGCTCCTTGTAGATTGTTAAACATGTGCACATCATTAACTCTATTGTTGTCTTTCCGTTGTACTTACAGTTGTATTCTAGACTTGACTGGGTGGATACATTAGTGGTCTGATTTGCAAAGAAGTCTAACAGTAACTCATTGTTAACTGGCCTTACATAGAAATATCTTCTAGATAATTTTTGTTTTTTAAAAACTCTTCCATTCAGCAGGTATGTGTTAGGAACCTGCTTTCTTCACTACACTAGGCCAAGGCATGTGGGAAAAGCACAGCTCACTCTGCCCTGAAGAGCTGGGGCACAGGCTGGACCACAGGGAACCTCCATAGCAGCCCAGGAGTGAGCGGCATGTAGTGAACGCTGTGGGACAGGCTCTGATTCTAGGTTCTAGGCCAGTGGTTCCCAAACTTATTTGGCCTACTGCCCCCTTTCCAGAAAAAATATTACTCAGCGCCCCCTGGAAATTAATTTTTTTTTAATTTTAATAGCAATTAAACAGAAAGATATATGTATTAATGTTTCTACCTTTTTCATAAAATATAGTAAAGAAAGGTGTAAATTAGAAACATTGAAGTTTGAAATTATGAAACTATTTATTGAACTCAGAATAGAAAGGTAATACAAAAAAAGTTAAAACAAATGCACCTGTGGCCATCACCGCCCCCCTGGATCGCTGCAGCGCCCACTTTGGGAATCACTGTTCTAGGCCATGGGAGCAGGAGGAAAGGGACCAAACTGGGCTGGGCTGGGCAGGGCAGGGCGGGGTGAGCTGCTTAGGAGGGAAGAAGGAGCAAACAGCAGGAAGGAACAGTGTGAGCCATCGGGGAGGGGCGTTCAGAGGACACATTTGCGGAACAAGGAGCCACAGAGGGCACCTGGGGATGTTACTGCTCTTCATTTTGCAGGCGGGAAGTTGAGGCTCAGGAAGTGTTTTGTCTGCGGTCACGTAACTAGTTAGTGTGAAGCTGGTTCTCGAGCCTCAGGCCAGGGTTTCCCTGGGTCCTGGTTGGCCCAGAGGTGTCATACTGAGCCTCAGAGCCTTCAGATGGCGCTTTCATCGTAGCACGACATCATATTAAACGTTTCCACATTTAAAAGGTGGGGAATGAAAAACAAACTGGTAGGGAGTGTAAGTTACCATGGTCTAGCCCAGTGGTTCTCAGCCTTGGCTGCACATTAGAATCACCTGGGAATCTTTTTAAAATCCTGATTCCTGGCCTCATCCTCCGGAAATTCTGTTTCTTTGTTATGGGGTGAGGCCACAACATTAGTAACAAAGAAACAGAATTTCCGGAGGATGAGGCCCAGGAATCAGGATTTTAAAAAGATTCCCAGGTGATTCTAATGTGCAGCCAAGGTTGAGAACCATTGGCCTAGCCGCTGCCGGGGAAAAGAGGATAGCAAGGCAGGCGTGGGCGTGGGCAAAGGCAGCTCCAGGATGCCCGCCCAGACGCCCTGTGTGGAGAGCCCACCACACGGGTTTCAGTCTCGAGTGCGTGTGGCGGAGAGCACCTGGGGCGGGCCGGGCGGGGAGGTGGCGCCCCTGCTGGGAGCTCTGTGGCTACTGTGCCTCTTCCTCCTGGTCGTCAGAGGGCCCTTCCTCTCGCGCACCCAGCACCTCTCCAGGGGCCCTTGGAGAGCAGCCCGTGGGAGGGGCTGCTGCTGTGTGACGTGGTGTCTGGTGTCAGGGAGGTCTGTTTGCTGGAAGCAGCGAGGAGTCCACTGCTACCTGTAGCAGGAGGCGGCATGTGCCACGGGATAAAGTGCCACGGGGTAGAAGGGGAGACAGGACTGCCTCCAAGTGAGCAGCTGGGAGACCGCCGCGTGGAGGTGGCCCAGCGGGGTCTGCGACACGCAGTGCTGCGTGGGCTCAGTGGCTGAAGTGGGGGGAGGAGGTGTGACACCCTCTCACGTGGCTGAGCTACCTCATCCCTGTGGCGCCTGGGCTCTGCCCTGCTTCCCGCCAGCCAGCCCGGACGGAGCTGCTGGCTGCAGGCGCCCGTGAGGTGGGGGATCTGTCCTGCGTGTGCCGTGTCCAGGGGGCCCTGCTTTGTAGTAACCCTGGCATTCTCTCCTCCGGGTCTCTGTTCCTGGCGGGCGTGGAATGAGGCATCGACACTCGGTAACTGTTTGTGTAACGAGTTCCTCAGTGAAAGGGCGCCGGTTTTTTCCTGTTTTCCATTCCCGCCTCCTGCTAATCCAGCCCTCTCTCCCTGCAGATGAAGCTACTGAACTTGTACATCAAGAGGGCGCAGACCACGAACAGCAACAGCAGCTCCTCCTCCGACGTCTCCACGCACAGCTAATGGCAGCGCGGGTGTCCGAGCGGCAGAGCAGCCGCGGTGCCTCTCACAGACCTTCCCGCCCCCTCGTAGGCTCCCGTCAGGGCGAGGAGGCCACACATATTTATTACAATCAGTATTTGGTCCCTTCCAGCTTTTGTGTAGAATCTTACTGGCATTGAATGTAAAGGAGCAAGGCCTGTTTTGCGTCCTCACACACAACTGCAGGAGTGAAAGAGCCATGCAGTGTCCAGCGCTGAGGGCACGTGGGGCGCAGCCAACGCCCGACGGGGGAGGGAGCGCTCTGATGGACAGCGGGTGTGGCGGTCTGCGTTTCTCTTCCATCTTAGCGTCCTGCGTTCTGGCCGTGGCTGTGTAGGGCAGGTTCCCTCCCCCCACCCCAGCCGACGCCATGACACAGTTAGTTGTGCCTCTTTAAGTTGTGTTTTGAGACCTGCTAAGAATGTGAATCACGTGGCAGGATGGAGGAAAAGCTGAGGAGGGCCTCTGGCAGACCCCGGGGTGTTGCTTCTGTACCTGGGCCAAAGGCTGCTGGCCTCATGCTAGTGCTCCGCGCAGTGCCCGGTGCTGCCTCGCTGCCCGCGGCTCCCGGGAGTCTGCGGAAGCCGTCTTCAGGGGCTCCTCTCGGGCCCTGGGTCTTGGGTCGTCTGTCCCTCCTGTCCCCCCACCCCCAGCGTTTGCTTAAGCTGCGCAGTTCTAAAGCGTTCTCACTTAACCTGGGCCCGGCTCCCGCTTTCTGCCGCTGCCATCCTCAAGGACACTCCCCTCTGGCCCAGCACTCGCTTCCAACACCCTCTGCAGCTGATGCAGCGGGGTTTCCTCATCTTCTCTCCCTGCCGCCCTTTATTTATCAAACATAATACATGTCAAAGAACAGCAAGCAGGAACTTTGTAGAACCCGCAGGACTTTGCTGGCAGTGACGTTTGGAAGTGAAAAGAAAATGCTCTAAAAGATACCGGCCACCAAATGTTTGGTCAGCGCTGTGTGTGCATGCATGGTCCCACACCCCCAGGTTGGGTTTCTGTTTTTTGGTTTTATTTGGGGGGGCTTTTTCACGTTTCACTCTCTAGTGTATCATGCAAATGTACAGACTCTTTTGTTAATAATGTAGGATTTGCTAAAAAATAAAAAATAAAAGAACCCTTTTGAGTTTGCCCTAGAATAAATGACGCTTAATTCCGTGTCCTGCTTGGGGCATCTTTCTCCTCGCCCTGCTCTGGGGTGGCCTGGCCGCCCTGGCAGCGGAGCGTGGCCACGGCCAGGAAGAAGGCAGGAACCGGTCCCACCTGCCGGGCACCGCTGCGTGTCATGTGGTGGACAGGTCGCGCAGGAACACACCTGGGAGCTGCAGGAGCAGGGCCTCCCTGCCGGCCCTTCCCTCGGCCGAGTGGGGAGCGGGTGGGTGCAGAGCCTCAGACCTGCCTGTGCTGCTGGGGCCTGGTGGGGGCTCGCAGGGCTGCAGCCTGCAGGGCATGGGCCTCGGAGGAACGCCGGCCACCAGGCACCAGGGCATTTCTCTGGAGGTTTACTCTTATTTAAATATTGTTTAATATCGTGTTTCGTGGTTCATTTCAAGTGTCACTACCCATGGCTCTCAGCCTCCTTTCCCCTGTGACCTGCCGCATCCTGCCCGTTTGACATGTGACTGCAGTGATCACAGATTCCTGGGTTCAAATCCTAGCTCCCCTTTCTCCCTTGGGCAGCCATGTCACTTCCTGCCTCAGCCTTTCCATTCACAGACGGGCTAAGAACTACCGCAGGAAGGTGCAGTGGGGTCAGTAGGGTGGTGTGAGGGAGGCGGCTGCAGAGGCCCGCCGGCCCCTGCGTGGAGTGGGCTGCCAGGGAGTCCGTGCCATCTCAGGGTCATGGGCCAGGGTAGGGGTGGGGGGACAGGCCCACGTCCGGCGGTGGTCTGCGGGGGCTCTCCGTGGTCGCTCCAGGAAAACGAACATCGCTCACAGTTTTGCACTTAGTTGTGCGCTGTGGCTCTGAGCCCTGGCGACCACTGAGCAGCACCGGAGAGCAGCCCAGCAGCCGCTCGGCCTGGGGCTTCCTGGAGGCCGCCTCCCGATGGCTTCCCCTTCTCGGGTGGCTCTTCGCAGCTCAGAGCCTGCCTTCTCCCTTCTGCGCCCCAAGCAGGACACTCCAGTCATGTCACTCAACTCCAGCGATGTTTCATCTTCCTGGTCCAGGGTCCAGAGGGCCCGCCTCCAACACCACCTGTCAAACGAAGCCCGTGCTTCTGTCACCTCCCCGCCCCACAGTTACGTCTGACACGGTGGTGGGATACAAGGTGTGGTGGTCAGGGCCTTGGTCCCCAGGGACACCTTGGCCCTGGGGGTCTCCTCACTCCAGGGGCTGCCCTCCTGAGGCCCCGCCTTCTCTTGATGCCTTGGCTGCAGCCTCCGGTGGAACTGGTGACTGAAGCAGGTAAGCAGTCGGTAACGGTTCCCACGTCTGTCGTCTGTTACTGTGTTTCTTCTGTAATCACCACGTCTTCTTGGTGCAAGCCTGTTGGGCACTGTCATCGATGTCATTTCGGTCCCTTGCTGCCAGGAAGCTGGGGCGCCGGCATATTTTAAATTACTCCGAGTTTCCACTCAGCGGGAGAGGCCACAGACCCCCGCAGCTGCTCTGGACGCCCCGGATCATTGATGGGCGGGCGGTTGACAGGCGGCCTTGAGGAGGCACTCAGACGTGAGAGCGCTTGCCTGGGTGCACATCAGCTGAGCTGCGAGGAAGGATGTGCTGCCATGCTGTCTCCAGGCGAGGCCCAGGCCCAGGGGGATACCCAGCTGGTCCCATGGGGCTGGGCGGGAGCTCAAGTCCTGTCTCTCTCTAGCAGCTGTCTTCCCTGCCTCCCAGCTCCCACCCTTCGAACATCTTCCCTGAAATTACAGTGGCCACGCCAGAATCTTCTGGAGGGCTTGTGAGGCAGCAGCTGCCTTCCCCCCCCCGGCCCATCCCCCCCAGTGCTGCTGATGCTGGAGGGCTCAGGGCCTGGAAATGTGCATTTCCAACAAGTCTTGGGGGATGCAGGTGCTGCTGGCCTGGCACCAGCGTTTGAGAACCACTGCAGGGCATTTTCCTTAAAACACAGCAGGGTGTGGTCCCGGGCCTTGGACCATCCTTGAGACAAGCTGCTGCAGAAAACAGCTCTGGGCTTCAGGGGATGTCACCAGACCATCACTGGCGTTAGGGGAGTCGGTGGTGACTAAGCATCTAGACTAGGACTGTGGGAGGGAAATGGGGTGCCATTAGCGGAGGGCAAACAGGACCCCACCTCCCCTGGTACAAAGCTCCGCTTGGCTGCCCTGTTTCCTCCAATACTTATTAACTCCCACTGCAGGGCTCGAGGCAAGAACGGACAAAGGTCATGTGAATGAGCATCTAATCTTAGATTATGTATTTAAAACACATTAAACTGCTCCCACACCAGTGCCCTCAGCCCTGGGCCTGCTGCCAGGGCTGGAGCCCGCGAGCTTGACTCCCCTGGGCTCTGGGCCGCTCGGCACAGCGTCCGGGTCAATTCCTGGCAGCTCGGAGAGGACCCTGCCTCCCTCGGCGCCCCCAGGGAAGGGGAGTGGGGGGCAGGAAGGCCCGCTGCCCCAACAGCTCCAGGTACACTCTGGGGCGCCAGGTGCTGGGCCTGGCAGGAGAAAGGCCTGCTGGGGTTTGGGAAGTCAGGGTCTTGATCCAACTCCGAGCCTTTCAGGGTCCACGACTCCAGCTAAAGGTGACCTCAGTGTCGTCCTCTGTGGCGCCCCGGGTGGGGAAGTGGGCACTGCTGGTCGAGAGTGAGGATTAGGTGCTGTGGGCAAAGCTGCTGACAGGTCTCGGGGCCCCCACGGATGTCCGCTGTTATAGTCCGCATCACGGAAATTGCTATTATCGAGGCACCTGCCCCAGTTGATGACATAGATGATGCTCAGTAAGTGTTTGGACAAACAAATGAAAGAATGAATGTGTCAGCCCCTCAAAACCCAGCTTTCAAACCCATAATCGACAGGACCCTCAGCAGCATGACGCACCAGGTGAACGGCGTGGAGTGTGACTAATGTGAGTGGGTGACTCGCGGAAGTTTCCAGGCACAGGACGGGGGAGGAGCGATGAATTTGTACCATTTTAGGACGGTGGCTGAGTTCCTTTTATGACTGGCAGAGGCATTCACAAGGAATAACCTGAACTGTTGCACTTCCGTTGATGAACTAAGAGGTTGCGTTTGGCTCACATGGCTGACACGGTTTGTCTGCACAGGGAATTCCCACGCTCACCTCACGTGATGATGTCGCGGTTTGGGTGGTGGGCTCAGGGGTGTTTGTGTATTTTTGTGGCTCATCTGACACACACGTTACACAGCAGGTCTTCGGACAGCACTGTCCCCTTCAGCATGGACTTGTACGGTTCCTGAGACGCTAAGAACTTAATCTTTTTATATCAAGTAGCCGGCGGTTACATCGGTTTTGTTTTACGTTGTTTCAAAGTTGCAGAACCTATTGACAAGGTTAAGGGCTGACTTACTGCGTAAGGGAGGACTTGCTTTTTGCATCATCAAATTTCATAATTTAGCAACAAAAACGTGTGCGGACACTACGTTATAAGGTGATTTAGATGAGTCTCCGTCAATTCTTTGGTTAGCATAGAGTAGACACAGCCGCTGCCCCACCCCCCCACACACACACACACCCGACTTTTAAACTTCTGTGGGAAATGTGTCGACTCCGGAGAGTACACCTGCAGACCAGTGTCCTGCAGGCCTGGGTCGGAGGGAGGCCTCGGGCACAGCGCGCCGTCGGGGGGAACTTAATCTTTTTATATCAAGTAGCCGGCGGTTACATCGGTTTTGTTTTACGTTGTTTCAAAGTTGCAGAACCTATTGACAAGGTTAAGGGCTGACTTACTGCGTAAGGGAGGACTTGCTTTTTGCATCATCAAATTTCATAATTTAGCAACAAAAACGTGTGCGGACACTACGTTATAAGGTGATTTAGATGAGTCTCCGTCAATTCTTTGGTTAGCATAGAGTAGACACAGCCGCTGCCCCACCCCCCCACACACACACACACCCGACTTTTAAACTTCTGTGGGAAATGTGTCGACTCCGGAGAGTACACCTGCAGACCAGTGTCCTGCAGGCCTGGGTCGGAGGGAGGCCTCGGGCACAGCGCGCCGTCGGGGGGATGGACACCCTCCTGCCTCTCAGCCCCTCAGTCCCCTGGCTGCTCCCGCTCAGTCCACGCCTCCCCACCCAGTGCTGCCCCCTATCTTCCGAAAGGAGAAACGATGCGGATGTTGTTCAGATGGTTGATCAGAGCCCTGCTTGTTCAGCTGAGTCTGGGGTCCCTTATACTGTGTGAGACCTTCTCCAAAAGGATGAAAAGAGGCCCCAAAAGGGAGGCACCCGGGGGGACGGCCACTCTGGAGCGTCAGGTTGCCCAGGAGAGATGTTGGCTGAGGCAGGGCCGCTCCTCTCCCAGGCCTCCCACAGGCCCCGCCA